GGACACCCCTGAGGCCTGACACGAGCTGACTGCATCCAAGATGGTGACACGGTGGCTAAGCCGGGGGGGTTGGGGGGTGGGGTGGGTGGGGGGTGAAAGCGCAGTCACTTAGTAACAGAGCAGGCACGCAAGTAATGAGATAATCTTACGCCTGCCATCATTTGGTGTCCGGTCAATACTTCTGACTAGACCCTGTACAGATTCCCTTAAAGCTGGACTTTCTGGTGCAAAATCGGACAGTTGGCAATGTTAGACACACCCCCGCACACGCAATACGCACAGAAATATTAACACATACTCACACACGCACGCACCCTTACGCAGATAAACCAGAGTCGTACTCGCAGAGACACACACAGCCACACAGGTGGCTCTCCCTTGTGGGAGAGACAGACTCTCCCACATACACACACACACACACACACACACAATTCAAAAATATATTTTAAAACAAATGATTATTATTATTTGTTTTAGTTCTAACAGTTCCTCCGAGTTCTCTATTTCAGTTGCTTTGTAAAGAGATTTTGCAATATGAAGATTTTGTTATGTACCCAAACTACGATTTGAGGAAAAAAAAGGTGTTTTTAGTGTCTTTCGCGCCAGGGAAAACCGTTTAACAATTCATACGTGCTGACTGTGGCTTTCGGACAGGTCATGAATCCAGGCATCATCAGGAAATGCTCATATCAACAAGTGCCAATGCCTGAAAACTGCTATATCGGTAAGAGAACACGCACACACCACACACACACACACTACAATCCACACACACACGCACACAAACACAACACACACACACACACACACACAACACAGTCCATTTCTCGGCAAATGTTTACCTGCAATCTCAAACGTGCACACATCTGACCTATCTCTTAACTTCTTTACTGAACTCTTTAAGTGACTTGAGAGCAGCGCCGGGAGCTAAAAAAAAAAAACAGCTCACTGTAGTTTTCTAAGTGTCTGCACGCTGTGCGGATGAGCTGCTGCTTAAGAACTTTAGAGGAGAAAAAAATAAAACACTCACGTTTCAACAATCCAACGCTAGTCGTCAATTACGCCACTTTTTTACTGAAAGTGGAATTTCAAAAGAAAGAAAAACAGCAGTAATGTACTACTTCAGAAATAGAAGCAAAGTATAGGATTGCTCGAAGGGCCAAGCCAACAGATTTCCCACCACCCCCCCCCGACCCCCAACCCCCGCCCCCACCTCCCCTTCAGCCCGTCGCTCTGTCACTAAGTTTAAATGACGTTAAGAACGCGAGCAGAAACGCCATGGTGCCAGTCACGCAACTCTGCATACTTTGGGCTGTACCGGAAGGTGGTACCCTTGTGCCTGCGGATGAAAGCGACACAGAAAAGGGAGAGGGGAGAGAGAAAAGAGAAGCAGAAGACAATGGTTAGAATGTGCGTCGGCGCACTGAGCAGTACTGTACTTGATCACAGAGTTCGAGAAGAGCAGCATTCAGGCAATTCAAGTGCAGTGGGATCATAAATTCCATTAAGGGTTACATGCTTGTGAGGCAAAGCAAGGCATCAGCCAGAATTTGACAGAATTTCTCCTGGTTGCCTGACCGACAATCCCCCAGATAAAATGAAGGCATTCACTTCAATGACTGGTTGCAGAACGCTGCTGTGTTTACGGCGACGGTCGAGTTTGCCGGCAAAATACACAGTCACTACACTTTACAGTGTATCCGGTAAAGTACTTTGAGACGTCCTCCCGACGTGAAACATTAAGAATTATTTTTATTATATATTGTTTTCCACGCCTGGCAATTCGACGGGAAAATCCTAGGAAGTTAAACTGATTGGGGTTGTTGACTACATTCAAATAGAATTTCAGATCATTTTACAATTTAAAATTGTTGTTTCAAAAATAGGTACGACCTCAGGAAATGCAGAAACTGTGCTCAAGGAGACTGGCGACTGAAGGCTCCACTGCCACTAAGTTACACCAAACGTGTAAATTATAATAATAATCCTTGCATTGGATATAGCGTATTAGCTTGTCTTCACAACGTCTCAAAGCGCTTCACAGAATATCCTGTAAAGTGAACTGATTGTGTATTACGTGGGCGAAACGCAGCAACCAATTGCGCACAGCAGTGTCCCACAAACAGCCTTGGATTGAGTGACCAAATTATTTATTCATTTCTTTATTTTAAAGGGGTTATTACACCCGGAAAAGCCATCTGCCAATCGGCTAACAACCGGGTTCCTACTTACAGCCAGATAAGCAGAGGCGGGTGGAGTAAGGAAACTCGCCCAACATTTCACCCTGCCGGGAATCGTACCCAGGTCCTTTCGCTTGCGAGGTGAGTGCTCTAACCACACACACTACAGGACATTACTCACCCACCCACCCGCCTTCCACTCATCACCTCCTCACTGTAAGGTGGTTGAGTTTTGGTTCAATTCTTTCCAATCCTCGCTCGCACCACTAACTGCTGAGCAGCTGACCCCACGCCTGCCTCGTGCTGACTCAAAGCACCACTCACTGTGAGAAATGCTTTCAAGGTTTGGAAAAGCTTCTTGAGTTTGAGTTTCAATGAACTGCGATCAAATATTAAATAAAGGACTTGCGTGGGCATCATACCCGTATAATCAATCGATCCTCTGCAGACTGAAGGGCTGAATCGACAGTCAATCTAACACCTCTGTGCAGTGCACAGGGAAATCCTTTATTGTTGAAGTTTCACAGAAAATTGCGTGCAAGGTTGATGCTTTCATTATATAGGACGCACACACACGCACACACACACACACACAGCTTTCTGTACATGCTGGTAAAGATTTTTTGCGCCATTGGCTCTGGCCCTTGAATTGCTATGTCAATCACCTTACGTTATCTGTGCACCGGACCCAGCTGTGTTTTCCCACTTTCTAATCATTGAAGCACGCTTTGTAAAACACATCATAGGAACGAAAGCAGATACGTCCCCTGAATGAATCCTTTTTGGGGGTGGGAGAGGACGGGATGGGGGCGGGGGCAGAACGAAGGATAAAAGAGAACAGGCTTTTATTTCGGCCTCGGCGTAAATCGTTGGCATACGGGATTAGCTGTGAAAGGTTTTTTTTTTGGTCGAGCCCACGGCAGAGTTTAACGGATAAAGAGAAACGAGTTGTCACAACGCAGTCGGTCTAAACAATGGTGCGGCCGTTCGCGCGACTGAAAACGTTGGATGCAAAGCACGAGAAGGAAGCAGTGGCTTTTTTTTATTGGCTTCCAGCCTCCGATCCACTGACATCTGAGTTTCACGGGACATCGACCAGAAGAGGACGCTGTTGTGAAGTTTCCCCCCATGACAGACCCTCTGCCAAAGCAATGCGCGTCAGTCAATAAAGTGACCGTGCGTTTGATTCGGAGACAGTTGCTCAACGAGATCAGGGACCTTGGGGGGCCAACAGAGGGGGGGCCGAGGATTGCCCTGACTTTCGGCCACAAAACTTGATCGAACGACGACCACACTACGTTCGCATGAGAGCACGAGGCATCTCCAGGTCACGGGCAGGAAGGCGGCGTCGATTCTCTCGCTACGCCGCTCCAAGGGAGTTACCCGCCCAGTGACTGTCAAACCCGCGCTTGTCGGGCATTAAATGATCGTTAAGCGGTGGGGGGGGGGGGGGGGAAGGGAAGTAAGGGGGATCCTCGGGAGCTGAGTTCCGCTTGTCGGAATCGAGCGAGTTCCTCTCGGAAAGTCTCGGCAGTTTGGTTCCTGCGCCAGGGTGGGGTGCATGTCACTCCAGGGCAGCGCTGACCGTAGTCTCGCCAGCCTGCACCGTCAGCGGGACTTGGTTAAGCAGCCCGATCCCTGGGGAAAAGGATTCTGCCCACTCAGCGCCTGTTACCCATGTTAGTCCCAGCTCTAATGGGGTAAGGTTGTCCTTGCATTGAGCCGTTTCTTTTTTAAAACAAGTCCACTCTCCCGGCTTCTACCGCCCTTCCCGCCAACCTGTTCCAGTCTCTAATTGCCTTCTGCGTCAGGAAAATCCTCCTGGTGTTACGTGCGGGCGGGTGAACAACACCGGGCGGCGAATCCTGCTTAGGATTTAGTTCAAATCATTCTACCTTTCGAAATGACCTGACGAGCAAATTCAGTGATTGTCAAACCTCACTCTTTCCGCCCCCGAAAAATGTGAAAGCGCTACTAGAGTAGAGGTGGTATAGAGTGGAGGTGGACTTCCTCCTGACGTGAAAGGCGCTACAGAAATGTAATTTGGTATTTTGTGTTGTATTGTATCCTGTAACCCAGTGGCGGATACATCAAGAAGATGCCCCACCAAACGTTCACGCTAGACTAGGTCTATGTTAAATCAATATTTTGTTTCCAGTAGCTGCTGAGTGGCGATGTTTATGGTGTGTCCGTGAATCAAGAAACAATTCAATCAAGAAAAACGTGCGTGTTAAAAAAAAACCCTAGGAATCCTATAGCTTCCGACCCCTTTTCCAAACGCACATTTCATGCGGACTGTGCTGAACGCTTCACGAGATTTGATCGAAATGATTATTCAGTCACCAGAGCAAACACTTGGATCCTGTTCATCCTTGAGGCTGCAGGGTTTGTATCACCGTAAACTGCAGTAGTCGTATTCACTCGGTCAGTCTTTTTGTGTCATGACATTATCAAACAAACCACCCTCCGCAATGTTAAAGGTTCAAAAGTCAGTCGAAAACATGACTCATGCAGTCACCATGCAGAATGTGGGCTCTATAAATAACTTAGAAACTGATACTGCAACGACATGTGGAGCATCAGATATTTTGGAGCAATAAACGTTCTAAATTAATCCTCCCAAAAAAGCCAGATAGTGTACGTGTCTGTATCGCCTTGACCTGAAGTGTGTGTCAACGGGTCACTGTAATGCATTAATAAATGTACTGCAATTCACAATTCGAAGTCAATCCAGTCCAAAACGACAGCAAAGGCAGCAAGGAATGGAAACTCAACAGCACTAAATCAACCCGTGCAAATATATGCAACACAGTTTCTTACCTCGGCTTCTTGCTACCATCGCTCTCTTCACTTTCCACTGTAACGAGATAGAAGGAACAAATAAATGTAAGCTTGCCCTTGTTGAATTATTGATCGTGCCAGTAAAATATGAATCGATAGCGTGCAATATTGATGGACTATTCACCGGCTCCAAAAGGGTTAACCAGTTACAAGATTTACATGATAATAGTATTTGTCCTTGTTAAGCATTTAGCAGTTTTGATGTGCGCAAGAGTAGAAACAATGTGGTTCCTCCTGGGTAAAAGTGGATCGCTTATATTCCGTTGGTGCAATCCCTTATTCCAACATAAAGCACGATGCAACCCATGCAAAGGTGTGCGGGCACTTTATTGGGAAAAGTGAGCATTCCGAGACGCTTTATGTCGGAATTGGGGATTGCACCAATTCATGAGAGTATTGGCAACGTTCTGTCAGTTGGTAGGCGCCCGAGCTGAGGGTAAGAAGCACATGAGACCATCAGTTCCAGTGAGTTCCAGTCCCACGGTGCATTCTGTTGCCCGGGGAGCCGGACAAGCAGGCTTCCCAGAAAAAATGAGATACCCGAGTCGTCGAGTGCACCAGCTCTCCTCCCCTGCTCCCCAAAAAAGCTACATAATGCGCTGAGAGAAAAGGGCACCGTTATAATAATAATAATAATCCTTGCATTTGATATAGCGCTTTTCACGTCGGGAGGACGTCCCAAAGCGCTTCACAGAACACACTATAAAGTGAATTGACTGTATATTTGTGGGCGAACGCGGCAGCCAATTGCGCACAGCAATGTCCCACAAACAGTCGTAGATTGAAAGTGACCAATTTATTATTGTTTTTGGTTTTGGAGGGATTATTATTAGGCTCTGTGTGGAGTAAGGAAACTTGCCCAAGGTCTCGCCCTCTGCCTGGAATTGAACTCGGGTCTCTCACTTGCAAAGCGAGTGCTCTAAGCACTGAGCTACAGGACTCCACTGAAGTCTATGTTGGAACTAGATCAGTTCGTACAGAAGGGTATTACAGGGTATGGGAAAGAACAGGGGATGTCATTGGAGCAGCAAACACTGACGACGTCTTCACCCGTGTTGCAGATTCCCCTAGCTCTATTTTCTTTCCAAAGTCACTTGGGGGCAAGGATTCTTCCCACTAATCCCCTGTTAACCCTGGAAGCCAAAGCCTGAACACGTTAGGAGAGTTCAGCGGAAAGTTTACCAGGCAATGCTCTCAATGACGAGCTCTGGTGTTTTAGCTGGTTGGACTCCAGCATGACCCCAACGCACGCTCCGGGGCCCCCCAGCTTTGGGCTCTTGCCTCCCTGTGCCTGATCGGATTTAGGTAAGCAAGGTAGGCATCCCTGCAAGGAGAGCGTGTGCATTCCATTTCAGACGCGAGGAAATTCTCACGCGTAGGTGACACTACGTACAAGGAGCTCAGCCCAGTTTGATGTGCTGAAGCACGGCGACGGGTTTCTGGGAATGCGTCCAGACACCCGGCTGACCGAAAGGAAAATTCTCAAAACAGAATCTCTCGGAAGACAACACGGGGTTTTATGGAATCGCGAGTTAAATATCAATGTCAAAATTGGAATGATTTCCCCCATGCGTTCACTGGAGGCCGATTCCAAGTTTCAGCTCGAGCTACAGTTAATTTTGTGTGTTTCCAGAGTCAAAATCGCAGACAACAATTACTCACTGTGTTCAGTGCCGGTCATTTGGGCAAGGATTTGGAATGAGCGGGATTGGCATGTTCCAGTCCTTGGTTGCCAGTCTTCGGTGTCCTCCATTAGGCGTTTTTTGCTTTGGTCACTCAGAATATTAGCATGGTGCACCTCGGAGATGTCAGGCCCAAACCTCCTGCCTGCTCTGCATGTGTGGACACAACAAAACTTTAAATTTCAGAAGTAATAATAATAATAATAATCCTTGCATTTGATGCAGCGCCTTTTCCCCTCTTCTCGACGTTTCAAAGCGCTTAACAGAACTGACTGTAAAGTGAATTGACTGTATATTTTCTGGGCGAAACGCGGCAGCCAATTGTGCACAGCAGCGTCCCCACAAATGTTCATGGAGTGAGTGACCGATTTTACTTTGGGGGGGGTGTTTGTTGCCCAGGACACCAGGAGAAACTCCCTTCTCCGTTTGATAAGTGCCCTGGGATCTTTAACATCCAACTGAACAGGCGGTTTAGTTTAAGGTCTCATTCGAAGGACTGAAGTACACAGTAAGAAAGTGAGTGAAGAAGAACATTACACTTCTTTCTTTAAACACGGTTCAACTTCAACCTCTAGATTAATACATGGGATCTGCAATAATGGAGAAAAGACGACCGAGGTACTTTTTATAGAATCATAGTATCATACAGCAAAGAAGGAGGCCATTCAGCTCATCGTGTTTGTGTTGGCTTTTTGAAAAGAGCTATCCAATTCAATCCCACCTCTTTGCTCTCTCCCCATAGCCCTGCGACTCTCCCCCAACCTCCCCCCAAAGAAAGCTTCCAGTCATCCTAGGACAGAGAAAGCACTTTTTGAAAGTAAGAGTTGAGAGGAGAAGGCAAACAATACCAAAATGTGAATCATTTACATGGAGCATAAAGCAGCACAATAAACATCTGGAAATCTCACGCTTCACATTTACGTTGGCTTAGCTCACAAGAGCACCAAAGAATGTTTAAGAGGGGAAAATATTCTGATTCGTAACAGATTTAATTACTAAATAAATACGTTTAAACTATCATGTAGAAACACTGCATTCTTCCTTCCATTTTTAAATACTGGCCCTCGGGATAACCCTCTCCACAACTTTGCTAAGGTCGAATGGTTTTGTTCAAAAGCCATTCTACCTCCTGCCCACTAAGTGGACCTAAGCAGTTTCCTCAAACCCAACATCTGAGCATAGGTGAATTCTCTGGGCTCGAAGCTGGGGGAGAGGTGGGGGTGGGTTGTGGAAAGTTGGTGGGATATGCATTCTGTTGATTGAAATTAAGTCATTCTAAGGATCCTCTTCATCCATCGCCCACTTGTAATCTTGCGATATGCGAAGTCCAGATAATGAAGCTGAAGATAACGAAAATAAGACTAAGAGCGCGGTGTGAAAGAACTAAATGCACTAATTTGTTTCTCTGTTAACCAGTGTGCAGAGAATCACTGCTAAAGTAACGACCCTGAAACCATAGCCCAATGGGAGCAAATCACACAGTCCAAGAGGAACTCAGCCGGTGGGATATTGCAGGTATCAACCTGTGCCCTACCAACTGTGCAGCACAGCGTATTGGAGTGACTCGGGCGACTACGCGATTTAATAGAATCAAAACACTTGTGATTTGGCATTTAAAGAATAAAAGACCTGGATAATTACCGTCGTGGTAGCGATCTCCTTTTAAAGATCCCAAGAACAGTGGTGAAGCCAGAATATTGAACGGAAGAACAAGCAGAAAGTACACAAGGAGATTGGAGATCAGAAAGACAAGGGAAAGAAAAGATTTTAAGACAACAGTTCTCTGAAGATTGTCGAGAGTAACTATGAGATTTCACACAAGGAAGCCAGGAGAACAAGCGTCTAATTAAACGGTGAGCCAAACATCTTGGGTATAAGGACCACAAGCACTTTTAAGTTATCTTTAATTATGGCTTCCCCATTGAAAGCCGGCCTTTTGACATGTCCGTACTGATGAAAGGCTTCCTTTCACATTTCCCATTTATCTTTGTAAGAACGGACAGGACTTTTTTGTGTTGTGATTATGCTCTCGAAGCAGCTTCAAACACTTTGCAACTAGTCTTTCGAATGGAGGCTGACCATTACTGGAGTCAACTTTACTTACATGGTCTTTTCTGTGTCACGGTGACCTGAAATTATTTCCCCGAGGCCACAGAAACGTTGAAGTAATTAAATAATTATAATAATAATCCTTGCAACTGATATGGCACCTTATCGTAGAGTGGAGATGTCTGAAAGCACTTCACAAGATTTTACCGTGAAATGTAGTGACTGTGTATTTGTGGGTGAAGCTTGCAGCTGATTTGCACACAGCAATGTCTTGCAAACGCTCGTGAAGAAAATGACCAATTTTATCTGAGTCACTGGCTAGCCCACCCGGGCAAATAGACTGTTGGGTTTGTCTACAAATACAGACTCAATCCACTTTACAGTATATCCTGTGAAGCACTTTGAGACGTCCTCCCGATGTGAAAAGTGCTGCACCAAACACAAGGATTATTATTATTTTACCTAGCAAGTCTACCGTATAAATTTTCTCTCAGCGGCTAAAGTAAATGTTCCCTGATCTTAAAGTGAATCCTTCCTATGCAAAGGGCAACTCTCTCCACAGCACTCCATTTTAATTTCCTGCACAGGAGCCATAAGAATGTTTGCGAAAGAACCTTTTAAAAGAAAGCTCGAGAGAAAGCAGATGACAATGCACTTACCCGGAATGAAACACAGGGCCACTGCAGACACAGGAAGGCATGACACAGAGTGGTTTCGGTGATGTTAAGATTCGTGGAAAATGCATCACAGGAGAAAGCAGACGAAAGGAGGAAATGATATAAAGAGGAGACAGTGAAGGTGTAGTGGTTCAGCGACAACTATGTTTGAAACACGTGAACGCAAGGAAATTAAACATGGTACCATTTGCATCACCCTTCAGATCATGCTATATGTTAAGTCTTGGATCATGCTGTATGTTAAGTCTTGGATCATGCTGTATGTTAAGTCTTGGATCATGCTACATGTTAAGCCTATGTTAAGTCTTGGAATTCGGTCTATCTGAATTGCTTACTTTGAAAGGGTTCCCATTCTCACTCGTGCATTAATTGAACCAAGGATCTATCTTCTAACCTTCTGGAAAGCTTTCTCTCTCTCGTCAATTTCCTTCCCTCCTCTCCTGGAAGTCTCCAACCCAGTTTCCTTCCACCAGAGGTGCAGCTCTGTGGATTTTGTTCCCCTCCTCCCCCACTTTGTCCCAAGTGGCCATCATCACACAGTGCCGGCAGGATACCCACTCCTCACCCGAAACCCACCCGCAGGCATCTCCAGCATCGCTGCTGTAAAACAACCAGCAACGGGAATCGTGGAGAATTTTCCCTTCCCTCAAGCTCAATAGTTCAACCCAGCTTTAGTTCAGCAAAGGCCAGGGATTGAACGAAATCAGGGAAACTTTCCCCAGTTTTTGGGCTCATCTTTTTTGTCTAATAATGCAGGGTCCGTTTAAACCTTTGCCTTGGTTTATAGACAACAGCAAACTGTTTTCACCACTGTATGGTTGAAACAATTGCTATAACCACTCTCTTCAACCCATGTAAATTATCCTTGTTGTTTATTAAAAAAAAGCGACTCTCTTAACTCCCAACTCCATTTTAGATGCACGTTGAGCCAGGCCAAACGCCTGTGGTTTACAAGACTTTCCCCGAGAGATTATGGCATCCTTTTCTCCCTATGGGAATGTATCTGGCCTTCCATGATTACGATCAGGGAGATCAGGAGAGTCACAGTGACCACACGTGGCACAGCACATCAGAGCTCCAACAATGCATCACGTTTGAAATGGAAAGTGGAATGAGAATGGGACAGGAGACACACTGTGGCTTTAGCACTGAATACACGATGATTAAAGATCCTCCCAATGGTCTTTTTTTTTAAATACAGCTGGGAAGCATCGCAGCATTTATGGACAATACTTGCACACGTGCAATGGGATTATTATTGATTTCCGTGCGCACACAAAATCGTACCCTCGAAGCGGATGAACGGCAGGGATACAACTCTACCACTTCATTCACTACAGTGATGGGAAATGGATCAGAGTGCATCGACTCTGGATCCGCAGGTTACAAGCGAAGAGACTGCAGTCTTCTCAAAATTATTCAGTCCTTCTTTGAACATTTTCATCACCTTGTGCAGCAAGTTAAAACCAAGACCACTGCTGGCATCTGAATTGTTTTGGTTAATGGCCATTTCTTCCAATGGTCAACAAGGCAGCAAAATGTTACACTTTCGATACGATCATTTTAGAGAGGGCTGAGTGGAATACCGATCGATTTAAGAGACTTGATGCAACTACTGATAGCTGTTACCAGGATAGGAACAAAAAGACGATAGGTACAGAAGGGGAGACACAGTCACAGAAAAAGTCACAGAGACTCAGTTAGGTAAAGCAAGTTTGAAAGTCAAGGACGTTGACCCGAAGCTTCAAATTCCGCTCATCGCTTTGCTTAATATTCATTTCGGTTATTCTTAAAAAAAATCAATGTCTGAATGCATCGATTTTGTCCCCCCCACCCCCCACATTGTCTACAGTAATGCAACACACACCATCCGTTTTGAACCAGCACCCAAACCTAATGTTTGGGAATCGAAGATTCATTTCCCCTGAAACATTATAATGTAAAATGTGATCAGTAGCCTGATACAATAATATGCTGTAACATGATATAATACAATATAATGTATATTAAAAAAAACCTGTGTTCGACTCAGTATTTCTACCGTAAGGACTAAGACTGATGAACTTACTAAAATATTAACAATCAAATTCATTCTGAGCAGTCTCCAAATATTTTAAACTAAAGAGTTTCAAAAAGGCAATAACTAAATGTTGTACGTTCTGGAACTCCATCCCAGAGGGCCTCCACCTTGCCCTCTCTCCCTCTGCTCCTCTACCCCCACCACCACCCTTCCAGACCCTGACTGACTTAAGACCCATCTTTTTGACCACGCAATCAGAGCCACTTTCTACTCCTTCCCCAGCTCAGCTTTCTGTCGCCTACGTGAAACAGTTTGGTATGTCCTCCTGGCACGTAAGGTGCTATCGATACAAACTGGGCTGTCCAACCACTCTTAAAGAGTTGGAAATAATCTATTCTGATTCAGGAAAGATCCCGAGTCAGGGGAAACTGACTTATGAAATAAATTGATGAATCTTCACCTCAAAACGCACGCATGCATCCGTCAGTGAAGCATAAAAAGCAGGCAAGTTAATGTTGAGCTTATAAACCATCGGACATGATAACCCATCGTCATGTCCAATACATTTGCAACTTGCCCGCTACGCAGACGAGTCACAAGGGTGAAAAATGGGAAGTAACGCTCGGCTGGAGGTCACTTCTCGCACAGCAACCACGCATGTTAGTTATTGGCAAATCATGAATCAACAGTCAGCAATAATGTGGACACTAACTTGGCCAACATCTGTTTCTGCAAAGAAAAGAGATCAAGTTTCATCAGTAAACAAAATACACTTTGCATTTCACAGGGCTAGTCAATCCGAGCTTCAAAAGATTTGGGTGTCTGGGATTTAAGCAGGAGAGCTCTTCCGGAGAGCCGTGAAATATGTGTTACCAAATAATAAACATCTTTGAAATGAGTTGAAGTGGTATTTCCTTTGAAGCTTGGATCAACTATATCCTGGTGTTTAACAAGGAGCTGGCACGAGCCTCCTGTACAGCATAGTCTGTTTGCAAGCAGAGAGCAGGGGAATTTAATTTGCTCAAAATACCTTTTGGGAGGAAATGCAAAGGCATAGTTTCCTCTCCCCCCACCCCCACCCCCTCACACACACCTTCATCCCACTCACTCCAAAACAAGAGTACGTGGGCTGAACGTTGTCACTGCATGTCACACAAACACAGATGGGTCGGTTGATAAAAGACTAGTTACTGCGTAAATATTTTGTCGCCATCAGAATTGCCTGCACAGCTTTTCTGTCCTGCAAAATATCAGTCTCTCAAAAGTAGATTCACACTCCATCATTTACGTTTGCTGAAGATTAACTGGCATTTGCCCTGTCTAGTTTATTCCTCTAAGCCATCAACATTCTGCACGGTTAGCCCATGCTCTGCATGCAATCCAGCAATGCAGCGATATCAGAAGGAATGATGCGAAAGATAAATTGAGAGGCCTGTCTGTAATAGAGAGGTTAAGGCAATTGCTCAAGTGCCAACATTTCACCGGCATTGTGCTCACCCTCTGGTAAGCGGGGGTTTGTATTGCAGAGATCAACATCTGAGAACAAGGTGTAAAGCTACAGCAAGACAAGAATTCTGCCAGTGCATTTTTCTGGAATTTTTTTGTTTGCAATGTTGGTGGTTGGGGGTAGTGGGGGGGTGGGGGGGGTGTGGGAGAGAGGGAGAAAGAGGAAAGAGACAAAAATCCCATTGAGGTTTGTGACAACAAATAATGGTGGTGCAGAATCCACACAACTGAAGCCTACATCTGTTCACAGGTTACTAAACTACAGGACAATTCCAGCGAGTCATTGGGTGGAAGAATACACGTTATGTTTTCATCATTTAGAAAATAGAACAAGTGAATACCCCCACACTTTTGGACAACTTTTCCCTCCCACGCTCCTTCCCTCTTGGCTCTCAGTGAGCTGCATTCAGTGTTGCCCAATGCGATTAACATTGATATAGCACCTTTCACGTCAGGAGGATGTCCTAAGGCACTTAACAATACTGCCTTGACACCCGAGCTGGGAGTGGGAAAGGGAAAGACGACCGAAGGCACGGTCAGAGAGCTCGGTCTTCAGAAGGACCTTGAAGAAGGTGAGGGAGGAAGCGTGTTTGAGGAACTCCAGGATGGAGTCATGAGTAGATCGGGAGCTTGGCTAGGCCTCACTGTCACAGGTCTGCGACCCAGCACTCTCAATGTCAACTCTATCGGACTGGACAAAAAGGGAGCGAGTTAGCCACGTTCTACACGCTAAAGCTTCAGTCACTGCAAAACCGAACGAATGACCCATCTGAACTCGTGCGACATTCAGTGAAATGTTAACCGACCAGTCCTCAAAGAGCCTCACGTAATCAGAGCATACTCGTGTGGATGCAAACAGATCGCTGCTGGGGCCAGGCTGCACGTGTCCGCTGCTCGCTCTCAGTCCCATCTCAGGAGACCTGCCAAAGCCACCTTACCCATTCTGCTGCTTAATGTCACCCTGCCCCTCTTTCAATCCTCTCTTCTGGCCCTCTGCCACCTCATGGGCATTGTCAGAGGAGTAAAGGCTTATGGGGGTGTTGTACAGGTTGCTCTGCCGTGGGACATTAACGGACGAGGTTACTGAAGGCTTAGCAGCGCTGGCTGCTGGCGGATATCCATCGGCACTAGTTTTGGCGTAGGCATGCAGGGGCTGTGAAGATGCAGTGGGTGATGGAGAAGGAGCAGTGGAAACCCGAGGGGGTGAAAGGGCTGATGAAGCGGTGGCAAAGGATGCAGGCTGTGGCTGTGCAGGGGGAGGAGTGCCTCTGGGAGGAGTTACAAGTCCGAATGGCCTGGGTGATTTATTGTAGGCAGAGCTGGATGCAGAGGGGATCTTTGGAGCCAATGGAGCAATGGATGCTATAGGCACACTAGAGGTTACCTCCTTGGGCTCATCCTGAGCAAAGAGGGGAAAAACACAAGTTACACAATGAACACATGCAAAAAAAAACACCCACAAACTTCAAACAGTGCTCCTGGAAACCCAGCGCACACCAAAATATGCCCAGAGAGCCATTCTTCAGCAGGAAGCCATACAGCAGTTTTAGGGTTGATCGGCACATCATTGTTCGAGTACAGAAGCGTTTGGATCAGAGTTATTCCGATTTTAACAACAACGAGACACTCAGTGGAAACGGGCATCGTAAGCTACAGGGGTATGGGGAAAGGGCAAGTGATTGGAATTGAAAGGATTGCTCTTAGAAGCATCGGCACAGTCACAACGTGCTGAATGGCCTTCTTCCGTGCTGTAATTTTCTGTATGCTTTTATAATATAAATTGCAATTATAAAATTATATTTAAAACATTTATAATTTGATATAAATTATGTATAAATGTATGCTTCGGAATACTTGTATGCGTATGGACTTCTGAAGCAACTTAACGGGTAAACGGGTGGGAAAATAGAACTCCGATTTGTTCTTCAAAGGATTTGCATCACAGGAATCACATCTGCCGTGTGGAGCTGTGTATCACCTGGCACATTAAACAGCGAGGGCCATTATCATCTTATCAGAGCAGACAAGTGGGAGGAACGTAAAGTCTGATTTGATTAAAAGCTTACTGTTAGATTTGAAATTAAACGTATTATAGGGCAAAATGCCCCAGGAGTGACCTTCATTTATTGGGGTTTTTTTTTTAAAAAAAAGATTCCGAGCAAAATTTAGAGTCAAAGTTCAAATCAAGACCATTTGATATTTTGCATTAATTTGTGGCTTAGCGAGATTAGGCATGCGTAGAGCTTCCAGGATGCACAAAGGACTTTTGTCAAAGAGATGGCATTCTTACACAAACACAGAGAGAAAACCCACACAGCATTAGACTTCACAAGCAGTATACAGTACTGATATCAACACTTGAGATCTAACTGGTGGCAGCGAGATACAATTCAATTTTACATCTATACACACGGGGACTATTGCATGTCGAGGGGACATCTCCAAAAGTATTTCAGACTGGTCAGCCGAGCTGGGAGATGGGAACTAAAGAGGGGAGGATGAGCGAAAAAAACGGTCAAAAGAAGCATCCGCAAGGCAGGGGTTAAACGTGGAAAGGGAGGGAGCAAGTCAAGACGGACTGGACTTGCAGAGAGCGCGGACTGAATGGCTGAAAGCTTGGCTGCCGATGAGTGGGTGAATAGGGCGGAGGGGCATGAAGCAGATCAGCTGTGTCTTTGTTCCCTTTGCTGGACAAAAGGGGCAGCTGAGTCAGGAGGATTGTAGAAGGCCAAGGAATGGAAGGGTGTGGCCAGGTCACGGAGGGATGTGAAACCGAGAATCCTTAATTCGATCCGCTGAGGGATGGGGAGCCAGTGGAGCTAAGTCAGGACGCAGCTGATAGGTTTGCGGAGACTGATGTGCGAGAGGACACGGGCTGCACAGATGAAAGAATATATGCATCGACGCGTATATATTTTATATGGAATGGGCTAACGGTATGGAGTGACTGGGTTAAAGCTTCATACTTATTTGAATCCTAGGTTCGGTGTCAAAATAAGCGGGCAGCACAGACCGCTGGCCAAAATGCCCTCGATCGAATAGTTTTTAAACACAGGTTGCACAGGATCTCAGTGACCTCCAACCGCCAGATTGAAACGACGCATCAGTTGCATGATAGTTTTCAATCGTGCACACACATGCTCCCAATCGACTCCGTGTGTAATGGGGTTCCATGGACTTGGTGGGTTCCCACGGTAGCTCAATTCATAAACTCACTGCTTACTGCGAGATTACTGTGCAAACCAAGAGCTTGGGGTTGATTCCCCGACCTAATAATAATAATAATAATCCTTGCATTTGATATAGCGCTTTTCACGTCGAGAGGACGTCCCAAAGCGCTTCACAGAACACACTGTAAAGTGAATTGACTGTATATTTGTGGGCGAACGCGGCAGCCAATTGCGCACAGCAATGTCCCACAAACAGTCGTGGATTGAAAATGACCAATTTATTATTGTTTTTGTTTTTTTTGGAGGGATTATTATTAGGCTCTGTGTGGAGTAAGGAAACTTGCCCAAGGTTTGGCCCTCTGCCTGGAATTGAACTCAGGTCTCTCGCTTGCAAAGCGAGTGCTCTAACCACTGAGCTACAGGACTCAACTGCATTGAACTGACAGATCCCAGCTGGGAGGAGAAAATAACTCACGCCCGGGTTTCCCGCCCACCATCAGAAATGAGTGACCCTTGTGCAGATCATGGATGACAGAATCCAGACTCACTTGTGACACAACTAATCGTTGCCAACAATCGCTGACTTGGCGCAAGCCGAAGACTTGCCACTGGGGTTTAACTCAGCCAAATGTGGACAGTGCTCGTGCTACCACAGCCCAGTAACGGTCGGCGTTATTGAGGGGAGGAGGGGGGAAAAAAGGTAGGGAACAGCGCCTTTCGGGTCTGGAGGACATCTCATAAAGCGGGACACTGCCGGGTGGGGGTGGCTCACAGAGATGGACCTTGAACGAGGTGAGCGAGTCAGAGGGAATCCGGGATAACTGCATTTAACAAATCAAAAGAGCCAAAAATGCACAGTTGCTGCGGGTGTTCAAAGGTCCACTTTGACGATCAGAATTAAAACAAAAAAGAGGTAATCTGCAGATCAAAAATCCGTCGGTCTCTGAAAGCGACAGCTCACCGCTTCAAGGAACAATCAGGATAGCTCTGTAACTCTCGCTGCCACCACGAGAGTGCACTGTTCACATTAAATCTTTGCATGAAAGTGCCAATGATATGCTCGAGACATAAAGCAATGATGCAGTAATGTATGCTACAAAAAATGACTTAGCATTGTGCTTTAAAACAACTATTTTCATTCAATCTATTCTAGATTAACAGCCCGGTAAAGCTCGTTCATGCACATGAACAAAAGTGCTGACGTTTTTAAATCGGAGCCAGTCGGTTTCCAGTCACAAGGCACAAGCATGAAGACCCACAGGGAATTTCAAATCCTTTTTACGTACCTTCTGAACTGTTACGAAGTCAGATTTTGCAGACTCGGGAGTCCTGAAAAATAGGAAGAAAGCACCAAAAATCAGGATGATTTGAAACCAAACTGCAACACCACAAATGCAACCATTTTGCTAAACACCTGAACAGTATTTCAACAAGATAACATTGGTAATAATAATCATAATAATACTCATTGCGTTTGATATAGCACCCTATCACGTCTTCGAGACGTCTCAAAGTGCTTCACGGAATACATTGTAGAGTGAATTGATTGTATGTTTTGCGTGCGAAATTCGACAGCCAATTGCGCACAGCAGCGTCCTACACACAGTTCCGGATTGAGTGATTTTTTTTCAAACAAAAAATATTGTTGAAGGGGTTATTACCCCCGGAAAAGAGATCCGCCAATCGACTAACAAGCGGGAAATGTAGGGAGACACTTTTGACGTCATGAATTGGCTTGGGAAGTGAAGATTTTTGAGTGGCCAAATCAAAGATAGTTCGGTGACTGCAGCTCCAAACCACTCCTGTTTGCGTCAGTAATGTTTCACACCTTAGTCACGGCGTCAAGAAATTTGCCTCTCCACGGATATCAGATACCAACTCGCACGCTCACATTGCATCCAGTGCCTGAGGGAGAGACACTCAACTCCCTATTCTCAGGAGAAGAGGTTTATTGTGGATGGTGCTGTGGGCCAGAGAGCAAATGGTTTTAGATGCAGGTTGGCAGGAGCCAAGGCTTGGGGACCCCATAGTGTGCGTAGGGGTACTACCGGAGGTCTAACCAGCTCAGAACCACTGAGAAAGCATTTTCCGGTTCCAGCCAGGACCCACCTATTAGGGCTTCGGCTTACAGAGTTAACAGGAGCTGAGCGGGAAGAATCCCTTCCCCCAGTGACTGCTCTGCCCCACCAAGTCCTGCCGATGGGCTGTGCTGTGCTGCGCTGTCATCAGCAGTGCCCTGGAACACTGCAGACCCGCCTGGCTCAGAAACTGGACGACCGAGAACGCCGGAGGGCGGAATCGATTCCGTGGCCAAGTTAGCAAAAATGTAATACGCTTGAAACGAATTATACCGCACTGACAACTGATACAAGTATCATGTGCACAATTAAGTTTTCTATCAAGTCAAACCGCTGGAGCCTCCCGGGGCCGTTGGGTGAATTGATGTGCGTCAAAGTCACACCCAAAGGAGCAGCTGAAAGGGTAATTTAAAAGAAAGGGATGGAAAGTTCCGGAATGTTCACTGGTGACATCAAGAGGCAGGTTCGTTGCAGGCCAAAGCCTGTCTGACTAACACGCCCCCATTGCACGGTGAAAGAGTGCACCTCATATCAAGCGGGTTTCTGGGAATCGCCAGGAGAAACGGCGGTCACCTTCCTCTCAATCCAACGCGGCATTTCGGACCATTCTTTCGGTGCTGTGTACACGCGCCGCATAGCTGATTCCATACCTCAAAGAATACAGCACGTTAGTTCCCTAGAACGTTACAGCACGGAAAGAGAGGCCAACTCGCCCTCGCCAGTGCTTACACACTCCACTCGAAGCACTCGCCCCTCATTTTCCCCTCTCTTCCCTCTCCCTTCACGTTTCCATCACGTTTCTTCGTCCATGCTTTTTGCTTCAAACCACAGCTTCCGGCATACAGTTCCACGTTCTCTCCACCCTCTGCGTAAAGGGGTACCTGCTAAACACCCCTCTGAAATGCTGCTGGCTGTCTTATATTTACAGCCCTTATTTTCGACTCTATCAGGTGCGCTGTTTACCAGAACTGTCCTGAAACCAAATTTGGAGAATATCAATTGAAACGAAAAGCTGCAGGCTTCTCCCCTCCTTTGCCCCACTTTACCACTTGTAATTTAATCCAGTCCCACTATTCCACCCACTCTTTCCAGACCAAACTCAGCTTTGCACGTGCACCTTTCCACCCACTATCCGTGGTTGACGTTTCAGACACGAAGCATTTGCTCACCTCAAAACTCTTCCAAACCCACCCCCCCCCCCCACCTCACATCCCTTCAAAACCTTTCTAAAATGCCTTTGGCCACCCTCATCCTGCCTGCCCCTCCTATTTCTTCCCACCTTGTTTGCATTTTCACTCCATCTCTGAAGTGCTTCGGGATATTTTGCTACATGAAAGGCACTGTGTAAGTGCAACTGGTTTTGTTCTGGCGGTACCGAAATATTTACTGATCAGCACGACACTGACATGTAGAAAACTCGATGGGTGTGGGGTGGTGTGTGTGCAGAAACAGTGAGGACATTGCTTTCACGCCAGGGTTCCCATTCTACCCCATAGGAGGCAACTCCTGTTGTCCTCAAGCAATCCTGTAACCTTTCAGGTTATAGCAGATTGTTGGTGGCAGAATCAGATTATCAAGTGATACTCTCTGGCAGAAATGCTGCTCCTTTGAAAATCTGCTTCAATAAATGAAACATCTGTTCAAATCCGACTCAGTCCACCACACCCATCCAAAGGCTCGCGCACGAAGGATCTTGTTGCAAAAAGTACGCTTCCCAATGTCAACACAGGACTGCAAATTACTGCATTTAGGTTAACTACCAGGACAAGACGACCAAACCACGGTGAACTATAATTTCTTTGTTCATCCATCTGAAAGTTAAAATCAGAAATAATAATAATAATCCTTGCATTTGATATTGTGCCTTATCATGTCTTCGAGACCTCTCAAAGCGCTTCGCAGGATATACTGTATATTTTGTGGGCGAAACATGGCAGCCAATTGCGCACATCAGCGTCCCACAAACAGCCATGGATTGAGTGACCACATTATTGTTACTTTTTTTTTGAAGGGATTATTACCCCCGGAAAACCAATCGGCTAATAACAACTGTTGGTAAACAGAGCTGTGTGGAGTAAGGAAACTTGTCCAACATTTCGTCCCCTGCCCGGGAAATCGAACCCAGGTCCTCTCGCTTTGCGAGGCGAGTGCTCTAACCACTGAGCTACAGGACTCCACAAAATCACTGAGAAAAGGAAATGCCAAAAGGAAAAGCTTTTTACTGCGGTTGATAAATTTGAAGTCTCACGCTTTTCAGAAGAAACCGTGAGTCATTTCACAGACGTCCAAAGCATTTCCATACATGCCACCTCGGATCATGATTTTTGTTAGGGGAACAAGAGTGGTTTCCTGGCAAAGCTTTGTGGGGCCGTGATGGAATGCATAGTTGTCTTCCATTTACTTCAAACAGTTTTAAGAAAAATTAAAATAGTTCTAAATTACAGAGTCCCATTTGTGTTTTTTTTCCCCTTGCTTTGCCATGTGGTGTACAAATGAATACATTTCAAAGATTCCTCCACAGTCAGGGTCACCCGCTAAGTTTCATAGCATTTTGTTTGGGGGTGGAAAAAGCCTGTCGCTTACTTTAATGTTAAGGCAAGCTCACGTTAAGTTCACGGTGTGCTACAAGAATTCTAATGACATACAGTAACTTGGGCCTCTGTTCAGAACTTCACATCCCTCCCCTGCTCCCCAAATGGTTTTCCTTAGCAACTATAAAAATGCATGTTTTTTTTTTTTGGTGAGTTTGTGTGGATTCTACCATCAGAAGGTGCTAAAACGAAATCAATAAAGCACGCGATTTGATGACTGGATTATCACGCAAACCCCGTTTGTGAATCTACAGTGACCTTCGCAAGTTATCTTCACAGTTGGGATCTTCTCGATCTGAATCCTGGTGATAATTCTCGGTCTGTTTTTTTATCCTGGATTCTGTTTGCAATACCTTTGCAAAGATAATACGCACAGCACCCTGCAGCATGGAAACGGGCCGCTCAACCCAACCTGTCTGTGCCTGTGGTTACACTCCACATCAGTGTCTACCCACTCTTAACCCCTCCCAGAACTCTTCTATTCCCTTCTCCCTCAAGTGTATATCTGGCTTTCTCTTACATGTATCTATATGATCTGCTTCAACACCCGTTTGGACAGCGAGTTCCATATTCTCACTACCCTCTGCGTGAAGTCGTATCAATCTTGTTTAGATTCCCCCAGTGGTCATCTCGTACTTGTGCTCACTGTTACAGACTCTGTAACAAGTAGGAACCTCTTTGTGCATTAGAAACCTGAACGGTCAATCTTCTCTTTGCTTATATATTCTTCGTAGTGCAAAAGGCAGAAAATGCTTTGGGCCTATTCAACCCTGTTCGGGCATCCTTTGAAGTTAAAAAGATAACTTTAATGAGCACGAGAAGTCTCTGGTCGGCAAAAGTCGAACTGAAGAGAGAATCAGCGTTAACAACGGTATCAGTAGTTGGGAGGTTACTTAAGGACAACCCAGCTTTCACGTGTTATCACTGACCAAACGACAGCCCACAGGGCAGGGTTTCTGCAAGCCTGGCTTTATTGCCATGAAATCTACTCCACCTCATTGCCAACCATTCAGTAGGATTGGAGCATAACTCGCCTGACTATCAAATGTCACAACAAGCGCAAAGGCTTCGGCAGGATGCACATTGCAACAAGAATGAACCTGTACAGCAATTGTATGTACGATACTTTATTCAGTAAACCAGAAAGAAAATAATACAATCTTTGTTCTGACCTTCCCTAAATCATGTAATATTCCGCCTAAGAGCAGACACACCCCTTTGGCAACCAAGCATAAGCTTCTAATTCTCATCCATTGGTCACAAAAGAGTACTAACTAGTCAGATACTCTGAGGTTCTGGCACAGGGAGTACATTGCTATTCTCACCTTGCACTTATCTATCTTGGACATTATTTGCCAATCATCAGTCCATGTAATACCCTATCATGCTCTCTTTCTACATCTTTTGCTGCCTCTACCGACTCTCTAGTCCTCTGCCCCGTTTCCCCAACGCTGGTGTCATCCACAAATGTAATCCTTAATGTTCGCAAGTAACAGGAAAAATCCCAATATAAATCTATCAAACGCCCCACTTGATACCTGCCCACAGCTGCTGGGTGTACGAACGTGTGTTCACAAACCAGACTCCAAGTAACATCTTCCAGGAGCTGTCAACCCAAGACACAGAGTTTTCTCATCAGCTCTCTGACAGACGTCTGCCT